TACACCCTGCCTCAAGTTGGTGCATGAAGATTCTGAATGCCCAACTTGCTGAGAAAGTTCGTGAATTCCTGTCCACCTAAGGCCTTAGTAAAAAATATCTGCCAGCTGAGTCGAGGAAGAAACATAATGAGGAGCAATAAGTCCCTTCAAGAGTGCATCACGAACGAAGTGACAGTCAATCTCAAATGTTTGGTACGCTCGGAAACACTGGATTAGAGGCAATATGCAAGGCTGCCTTACTGTCACAGTGGAGAGACACTGGATACGAATTATCAACACCAAAACTTCCCAAAAGGGACTTCAACCGTGTGAGCTCACATGTGGTAGAAGCCATAGAGCGGTATTCCGCTTCTGCGGAAGAGCGAGAAACAGTAGATTGTTTCTTTGTATTCCACGAGATGGGCGAAGATCCGAGTTGGATAAACCAACCAGTAAGAGAACGTCGCGTAATTGGGCAACCCGCCCAATCAAAATCACACCAAGCAGTGAGACGTAAATCAGAATCAGCGCGGAAGAAAATGCCCTGACCAGGAGTACCTTTCAAATAGCGCACATCCCGAAAGGCAGCATCCCAATGAGCCTGGAGAGAATTGTGCATAAACTGGGACAACAAATGAACAGAATAAGATAAATCTGGTCGAGTGACAGCAAGATAAATAAGCCTTCCTACCAAAAGTCTGTATCTTTGTGGATCCGAGAGTGGAGCACCAGTGACAAGCGTAAGCTGATGATTTTGCTCTAGTGAAAAGGAGGCCGGCTTTGCCCCGAGAAAACCGACCTCGGACAATATGTCAAGGGTATACTTCCTCTGACACAAAGAAATACCAGATGAGTTGCGAGCTACTTCCAATCCCATGAAGTATTTCAAAATGCCGAGGTCCTTCATATGAAAGCAACGACTTAAGTAAGCCTTAAAGGAAGAAATAGCCCCATTGTTGTTCCCGGAGATAATTAGATTATCAACATACACGAGAACATGCAGCTGAACACCATCACGACACAAGGTAAAAAGAGAATAATCGGCATAAGATTGAAGAAAACCATATTGGCGAAGTGCCATAGTTAGTTTCGCAAACCAGCACCGAGGAGCCTGCTTAAGGCCATATAGAGACCGTTTCAAACGGCAAACAAGATTAAAAGACTGAGACCGAAAACCAGGAGGCAAATTCATATATACCTCTTCAGCAAGATCACCGTGGAGAAATGCATTGTGAACATCCAGCTGATGTAACTCCCATTGTCGGGCAGCAGCAATGGCCAGAAAAATTCGAACAGTCACCATTTTGGCGACGGGAGCAAAGGTCTCAGTATAGTCAACACCCTCAAACTGTTTGTTGCCAAGAATAACTAAGCGAGCTTTATAGCGTTCAATGGACCCGTCAGACCGTTGTTTAATACGGTACACCTATTTGCATCCAATGGAATTTTTACCAGGAGAAAGTGGAACAAGATTCCATGTTTGGTTATTCTCGAGAGCCTCAATTTCAGACTTCATGGCAGAACGCCAGTTAGAGTCAGCCATGGCCTCGATAAAATTTTGTGGCTCGACAGAGGCCTCTATAGCTGCCAAAAAAATCTTATGGGCAGATGAGAGAGCAGTACTATCAACAAAATGAGATAAAGGATATGGTGTACCTGAGGACGATGAAGTGGTTGAAGAGTGAATAGGGGGAAATAATAGTGTTGGTGACATGATCGCGCAGCCTGACGGAAGGAAACTTCGTCCGATGACCACGGCCCAAGAGCTCATTAGACACTATAGAGTCAGAACCCCCCTGACTATAGTAGGCCCAGAAGGAGATGAGGATGCGGGATCGGGAGAGATGATCGGTACAATATCATGCATAGATGAGGACTCATCATCAGTAATAGGCCACGATGTAGAAGAAGTATGCGGGACAGAGTCAGCCTCAAAACTAGTTGACGTAGAAAACGGGAACTGATTCTCACAAAATTTAACATCTCTAGAGATAAAAAAACTGGCGAGTGTCAATATAAAAAACAGACCATCCCTTCTTCCCAAAGGGATAGCCTACAAAAATGCACTTTTTGCTACGACTGACGTATTTATCACACGAACAATCCAAATTATGAACATAACACAAGCAGCCAAAAACACGAAGATGTGTAAGAGTGGGCGATTTTCCAAAAAGAACTTCATAGGGACTCTTCCCACGTAGGACGTCAGTGGTAGTACGATTAATTAAATATCCGGCAGTCAAGACACAGTGTCCCCAATATTTAATGGGCAAATTAGCCTGAAAACGCAGAGCGCGTGCCACGTTAAGAATATGGCGATGCTTGCGTTCCACTCGACCATTCTGCTGGGGGGTTGCAACACAAGATGTCTCGTGTAAAATACCGTGTTCCCGAAAATATGAAGTGAGACACATAAACTCAGTCCCATTATCGCTTCGAACAACTTTCACCAATTTATTAAATTATCGTTGGACCATGGCAAAAAAACTAGTCAAAGTAGCAAAAACACAGCTTTTGTTATCCAACAAATAAAGCCACACAGCTCGAGAAAAATCATCAACAATTGTCAAAAAATATCTAGCTCCAGAAAACGAGGGGACTCGATAGGGACCCCATAAATCACAATGAATCAAAGCAAAAGGTTCCAAACTAGTACTTGAACTCAAAGGAAAGGAGTCTCTAGTATGCTTGGCACGATAACAGACATCGCAAGCTCTATTGTTAAAACTACTACCGTGACTAGAAGATAAGTTACAAAGCTTTCCAATAACCTGTGCAGGTGGGTGACCCAATCGTTGATGCCACAAGTCCACAGATCCACCAACAGATACCTTAGCCGCCACCGTCTTCATAGGATCACAAAAGAAATATAACCCCCCCTTTTGTTCACCCAGACCAATCACCGTCCTCGTAGTACGATCCTATATTAGACAATCAACATTAGTGAATTGGGAAATACACCCACGATCGTCTAACAAATGGTATAACGAGATAAGACTGCATTTAAGACTAGGAACAAATAGAACATTATCAAGACCAAATTTTGACTAAGGCGAACTTTGTTGGCTTTAGTCGCTACGGTCAATTGGCCATCAGGAAGTTGCACCGGTCGAGGTGAAATATCACAAATATCAACAAGATACCGAAAAAATCCAGTCATATGATGTTTAGCACCACAATCATACATCCAACTACAAGAATAATCCTTACCAGTTAAATGATTAGAGTAGGTAGTATCAGAATTATTAGGGCGCACGAGATTAATCCGGACTCAAACCTGTATATGCGGGGACAGAATTAGCCCCATAAGAGCCAAATTGAATCGGAGAATCAGCAAGTCCAAGCCCAACATGATCAGGCCCAAAATAATTTATCCCAACAATATGAGTAGCGTGGGCTTTGGCAGAAGCTGAAGGAAGTCGTCGGTCATTTCCAGTGGTAGAAAGAGGGGCACCGATCGATTGACCTTGTCCCGCCGGAAACGCGTCGGTAGAAAGAGCTGCTGGACTCTTGACGGACCATCCTACAGGATACCCAACTACTTTTAAGCAACGACGCGGATCGTGACCCGTCCGGTTGCAATGGGGGCAGGTCTTCACGCGAAAACAAATCGTGGCGTCGTGTCCAGATCGACCGCAAATAGTGCACTGGCGACAAGACCGAGAAGAGAGAGAGAGAGGACGATTGGCGTGTTGCGGTTGTGGCGAAGCTCAATATGACGGTTGTTGGAGCGGAGGTTGTCGGAGCAGACGATGGGGAGAATCGCTCCTCCTGTGAGATGACAGAGTATACCCGTTCCAGAGAAGGTAACGGATCTTGGGCCAAAAGACCGGAACGGGCCGACCCATACAGCTCTTTGTCCAGGCCCAATAAGAATTGATGAGTTTCTTCTGCATCTCGACGAGCCTCGAATTCACGGGCATGTCCACAGGTACACGCAATCGGTGGTTGATACGAATTTAGTTCATCAAATAGCATTCGCAGTTTGCCATAATATGCACTAATAGTCATACCTTTCTGTATTGTAGAAGCCAATTCACCTTTCAATTGTTGAATTCGAGTGCCGTTGACGATGGAGAAGCGGCGACGAAGATGATCCCATAATTCTTTGGCGAGTTCAATTTGAGGGATGGAGGGTCGGAGTGTCGGATCGATCGTATACTTGATCCATGAGACCAACATTGAGTTATTGACGAACCAATCTTCAAGGACCGGTGAGTTGTCGGCCGGTTTGGAAATAGAGCCATCAAGAAAGCCGAAATTTTTGCGTGCCCGGAGAGCTGTCCGGAGCGAGGAGGACCATTCGATATAATTTTGGCCTGTGAGGAGAACTGTAGAAATCAAACATCCGGGATTATCACCTGACGTGATATCATATGGTGAGATTATTTTATATTTTGATTCAGATTCGGTGCTGGTTGACATGATGAAAGAGTTGTTTTATGACGATGGTGAAAAATTATTAGGTATAAGGTCTGCGGCGAAATTCACCGCTCTGATACCATGTTAAATTCATAAGAGGGAACATGACAATAGAAAGAAGATGATTTCTTGTGTATTTTGCAGGAAGAGTGTTTACAGAGAATATATAGAGATTACAAGAGATAAAATCATATCAAATCAAATATGTAGATACCAAAAATAACTATAAGAAAATATCGTCCATAATTATCAGATCTTCCATCTGTTACAATATCAATATTATTTGTCCAAATCTAATTACGAAAAATGTTTTTTTGCCAAATAGATTTCTGAAACACCAGAAGCAACCATGAAAACTCAGCGCATTTTGGAATAATATATAGAGAGGATTGCTTCAAGTTGTTGTTGTTGTTGTTGTTGTTGTTGTTGTTTTTTTAATAAATAAAAAGTGGAGCACAAGGGCTAGTCTCACTTTCATCAAAGCTTTTAGACTGTGTTTATCGGTGACCCAGTGGTCGGGTAATTTATATTAAAAATAAAAAATAAAAGTTACCAAAATTCGTATTTTATCATTTTATACAAATAGAGACTACACTTAATATTTTTTGGAACACAATTGCATTTTGTGTATAAATTAAAATAAACATTATATTTAGGTTGAGTTGGGTTAGGTTGAGGATAAAGATAAATTTAGTTGTAAGGTTAAGTTGTGTAGGTGAAGAAGAGAAAAATCATTTTTAATGATTAAATTGGATTAAGTTGGGTTAGGTTGGGTTGGGGATAAGTCTTACATGCCCAGCCCGCTTCCCCTGAGTTTTTGTATTTATTCCATTGTCTTACACGCAGCGGTCAATGTTTCAATTTAATTCAATATATCACCTAGGATACATTAAAATATATATCCACGTGTTAATTTTATTTATGTTGTACTAATTGATGGACATATGAACCTGTGCACATGCAAGACTATATTTTATTGCATCATGTTCATTAATTTTCATTTGGACTTAATAATGGGTGCTCACGAATTTACATTTTCCTTGGTGGTTAGTTTAGCCATTGTTCGGCCCAAATCGGCCCAATGTGTGCCCATGTTTTGTGTCATTGTGTGTAGTTGTAGTTAGTTTTGTGTTGCTAGTGTTGTTGGCTTTGTGCTTGTTCAACCAATCTTGAGCTTTATTTAGTTCCCTTTTGAGTAGAGAGACAGGAGATTATTATTGATCATGTTGGCTGTTTTAGTTTGTTGGTTTTAGTATTTTGTATTATATTATGTTTATTTCTAAGGGATGATATTGTTGTCATTAAAAGTAAAAGAAAAAAAACCAGCTATCCAATGAGTGGGTCACAAGATAAAAAAAAGAACAAAAAGGGGAAATGTCATAAATTGAGCGGCCAAGTTACATTGTGATCTTGGGTTGCGATCGGTCTAGTGTGTGAGAATGAGTCATTCTTATTGGACAAGTGTATTTTATTTTTTTTCGTTCCTAAAAAAATTAATAAAAATAATGAAATTCATTTTTTTTTTTCATTCTCTATAGATAGAGACCTTACCTGACATGTTTTGGACAAAATTGCAATTTATAAATAAATTAAATAAAATAAATATTTGGGTTGAGTTGAGTTGAGTTTGAAATAAAGATAAATAGCGTTGTAAAATTGAATTTATAGGTGGATGAGAGATAAATTTTTATTATTAGGTTGAGGTAACTTGGTTTGGAAATAAAAATGGTCTAATTCTTATTCGACTCTAGATCCATTGCATTTTCTACATTTTACCATCTATAAACTTTTAAATTTGATTGCACTGACTTCGTTGACCATAGTGCTCCCAAACAAAGCCTTAGTGATACAAACCAATAATATCATCATTCAAGATCTAAAATTGATCCCATACAATAATTCTCATAAATATCTTCTCCTTCCTAAGACTCAAGGTGGCCTTACTCATTCATAGCCATTGTTCTTCCCCTCACATGGCTACTGAAATGACCAAAACAACCTTGACATATATTTTTAACATCAAATGCCAAACAACTCAAGCTGTTGAGTTAGATGAGATAATCTACCAACAGCTCATTAATGAGACTAGAAAGAACCTCAGCTTCCAACTCCAATACCACCTCATCATTCTCCCGATCGAACGATTTCCACCTGTCCGAGTTTTCCATGTCCTTAACGTAAGACGATCGGTTTCTCGGAACTTCCCAGCCAAGAAACAACTCTCGCGGCTTTCTTTCGTACACCCAGTTTTCCGCCTCGTCTAAGATTTCCTCGGCGAACGAGCTTCCGCGGCACGGGTTTTGAGAATGCGTGTTTCTTTGTTCTTCGTTGATGATTTTTTCATTAAAGAAGTCGAGGAGCAATTTTTCTGCCTTCATTTTGATGCCGGGCGATGATAGTAAACTGTTTGCCATTTCGTTGAGTAAGTTCAGTGCCTTTTGTTCTGCTCGGTTTTCGTCTTCCTCCACATCAAGTTGTTCGCCTTCGATTTCCGGTACTGTTTTTTTGGTGGGACATTCAAATTGTTTTGCGAGGCTCACTGGCTCGAGCTGTTCAAGGCATCCGAATCTCTTCATTTTCTTCTCGATCTTCTTCTGAGTTCCTATACAGAAAAAATAAATCCCATATCAAGCCAATAGTAATTTCAACGTTTAATCAAAGTGCGGTATTCAGGAGCTTCGTAAAAATACAAACGACATTGGGATTTGTATTTGCAAAGCAAATCGTGATAAATGATGGATCATTATGGCCAACCCGAGCTAAAATCTGTAGGGACGCGGTCACGCGGAACTGAAACTGCGGTTTTGCCTATATATCATCTGAACATGCAGAAATGAAATATAAGATATTACAAGGGGTGAAAGTGTAAGTTACCATCTGTACAATCGAGCCGGTGTCGATAAGGAGAGGAAACCTCGTCATCATCGTCAAATGGACAGTCGAGCACTGATACCGGACTGAACTGTTCCTTGTCTTCACTAACTGACCATTGCTTGTTCTGTAAATCAACATCACCAGCAAACATAAATGAGCTTTATTATCAAATGTCAATGCATATTATCGAGTAGTAAACAAAAATATGACATTTCAATAGCACATGTATGCATTTTCTTTTTTTTTTTTAAAAGCAAAAAAGGGTAAATTGGTCGACACTTAATAAGCCGTCCCACACAAGAATTTGCGATATTACGCAAGTTAGCTCGTCTCGCACTAACATTTGCATAGAAATTGTAGGCTGAAATAACTATTATTACAGGCATCATTAAAGCCAAATGTATGTAATGGTTAGCAAACATACATTGATTGTGATTGCAGCAATCAGTGAGCACAAGAGGGATAAGAGTTTTGTTTAATGGGGGAAACAGAACATTTGCTGGATTGGACCCCCAACAAGGTTTTTATTACTGAGAAAGCACAGTTAAGTCTCATAAATGAAGGCCTTCTCACAATCAAGGCTGTAGCATTCATGGAGTCCCATTACCACATGAGTCAATGTGCAATGCAATAAAGTTAGATGTTTTTGAGGCAGATAATGTTACTTTTTTTTTTTTTTCAGGGACCTCATAAAAGAAGGGAAATGCTAATACAGAACCATTCCGTCGAGATTTGTAACCGTTAGATCATCATGTAACCGTTAATGATAGTTGATCTAAGACGGAATGGTTCCATAATGAGACCGTAGCATCTTCCAATAAAGAATACTTACAACAGTTATTATGACAAAATGTCTTTAAGCTCAAGTGTTGACAAGGTTGGAAGGCTTGGATACAAACATAATAATCAAGATCATAATTGGACTGTAAGGTTGATCAAATGTAAAACATGAACTTAACATATAAAATAACAAAAGTCCTATGATCTATCATCTATCAATGTCTCAAACTTCTTAGTTTTCTAAAACCAAAAGTGATGATTTCTAAACAATGGGGAAGAAAAGAACCCGTGTATTTGTATTTATTGAACGAAATTTGATAGGTTGTAGTGTATCCTTGCAAAATTTTTAAAATTATAACACACTTTATTAACTTAAACTACATAAAAAAATTATATGTTAATAGCTTTAGTATTTGTTATCATAACAAATTATTTGTAGCTTTGATCTAACATCACTGTATATAAGTACATATATATAATTAACTTTATGATTAAATTTAAATTTTCAGTCAATTTCAATTAAATAACATTTAAATTATTAACCAATTAAATAAATTAATCTACAAAGTCCATAAAATTATAAAAATTATTATATTATTATAAAGGATAAATTGTACAAGTGACTGGTGTTATTTTAAATATGAATAATAATATAATTTTTTAATCATCCTTATATATTAATTCAAGACGTGTTGATCCTAAGTGGCAGATCACATGACCAAAATATATTTTTCGTGATGTTGTTTTTATATTATTTTTGCTCGGGAATTAGGTTTGGTATTGGACATAAATAACTTTTATCATATATTTCTTAATTCTACATCCGTGTTGTAGACGGGTATTGTACTATTAATTTCTTAAAACTTAAAGCAAATAAAAAAAAAAAAAAATCTCTTGTATCTTTTCATTTTTATTTTTTTAACAATTAAGTATAATATTTTTATATGATCAATTGTGCAATGCACGGGTGTGTTCTCTACCATTTAACGTGAAATTTTTTAAAACTATATAAAATTCAAAACGGAGGAACTGGAACATCTCTTTAGTCTTTACTGCCCCTACCAGTTGACACGATGGCAGGAAAACATAAGACAAGGAAAGAGGGCATTTTCGGAAAATGGGTGACAGCCGAATGCTCTATTTTGTCGTTTGCGATAAAAACAAAAAGTGCCCAGCCGAGTTTCCATGGCCGTGGATCTCGTTCAGGTACAACATATAGCGGGATCCTAGCCGTTGGAATTAACCATTATTTGTATTATGCTCATTCCTTTTTAAAATAAGTGTCGTTTTGACTTTTTTGATTCATCTATTTTATTATGTATGAATTAAAAAAGTCAAAACGACACTTATTTTAAAAAGGAGGTAGTATATAGTTTGCTTATATATTAATATTAAACAAAAAACCCGCACGTGTAGTTCCACCTATTTTCCCTCCTTATTTACCGCTGTGAAATTTTCACAAATATCGAAACTTCATTGTTATTTATTCAAATAAACTAATTTCAAATTCTCCTCCCTATTTCTTTACTATTGTTCAAATTTTCAAATTGGATTTATTTTATATAGTAATCACAATCCCAATATATTCTTCCATGGAAAGGGATTCAAATTCAAATTATGGCATAGAAGATCACAAACATAAATTTTAATTTTACAATTAGCATGTATAGCCTAAATGATTAGAGTTTTAAATGAACTGAATTGAACTCCAACTCCTAATATTCGAGCTTGGTTTGTTAAGACTGACCAAAAACGAGTTGAATTATGTTTTTTTTTTTTTAATTAAGTTATAGTTCAAAAAATTGTAATGTAAATACTAAACGGTCATTAAACGAGCTCAACTTAAGCCTAATATAAGCTATGATATTGCTAATTACTTGGCCCGATGCACGAGAACAATATTATGATTGTATTATTATTAATAAAAAGGCAATTATATGCAGAATTGCAGATGATACTAATAAAACAAAAATAGATTAAAAATGAAAAAATCTCACCTCTGTATTACCGTCGGTGGCTGTACTGCTGGCATTACTACTGGTAGTTGAGTCAGTTGAAACGTCGCCGTTCTCTACCAGCCCTACGGCGTCGTTTGGTAAATCCAAATTCACCTCGCAAGTAGTTGTAGTAGTAGTAACCACGTTACCGCTCGAACACTCGTTGCCGCCGTCACCCGCCGTCGCCGCCGTGAAGCTGTCGGGAACATCCGACGGCTGAGAATCCTCCTTCATCAGCTGATCGAACGACTTCAACCTCCCGACCTCTTCCCGGCCCGAGCTCGATTTCCTCTTCCAGAAGCTTCCTCTCTCGAAAATCTTCCTCGAGAGGTTCCGCGGCAGGAACATCGACCTCCGGAGGTCCTTACTCTCCTTCGGTCCGTCGGCCGCGAAGGGCAGGCGCTTCACGGCGGAGATGATGCGCCGGAGCGCGGCGATTGCGGGGGATTTCGCGGGGGACTTCCGAGGCGCCGCCCGGATTTTGTCGAAATCGGGGAGGAATTTCCTCCTCCGCTTGCTGCCGTGGTCAGGGTCGACGAAGAATCGGACGGTGCTTGTGCAGCATTGCCTCCTGGGGAATGATTTGAAGCCGTTGGATGAGCAGGAGCTCATATCGTCCAGCAGGTAGTCTTTCAGCAGCAGCTGGGGCTTGGGCAGCGCTTTGGGCTTCTTAATCAACCTGGAATCCATTTGCAAAGACAGATACAACCGACCGACGCCACGAACCGGTAGATTTCGAATACGTATGGCTTATCGAGCTAATTTTGTGAGGAAAATGGAAGAGAATAATGAAAATTTGTGAGCTCAGATTGAAAATGGGAGCAAATGAGGAATGATTGCATTTAAAGCAAAAGGCGGAGTTTGGAACTGAATTTCTATAATGATGAATGGCTATAATGCTTCACATCTGTAGTACAAAAGTGGTGCCTGAGCAGAAAAAGGCGAATTTTACCATTTGGTGGAGCCGCGTTTTATCTATGAGCTTTGAAGAAGAGAGAGTGTTGGTGAAAATTAAAAAGAGTGAAAGTGTGAGGCAGCTTCTTTTATGTGGTGAAGATCTCTAGGCTGTGATATGAATTTTGACATTTTGGAACAGATTTTTTTTTTTTTTGTACAATAAACGGAGACCGTAGCCTAGAGACCCCTAGATAGTAATGTTCCGTGGATGAACGACGCCTACAACGTCGTGTAGTAGCCACGACTTGACTTCTAGAGGGGGATCAAGAAACCTCTGGCACCCATTTTGGAACAGATTTTATGTGAAGGGTTTGGTTCCTTTCTCTATGTATGAGAGAGAGAGA